GGTTTTATTGTAAACTCCGCGGAGGACAGGACTGTCCACCCAAAGTGTGGAGAGACTCACTGGCAGATTACGGGCCTCCCATTGCTGCTGCCAGGCCCGTAATCTGCCATGGGCCCCCGTACCGCCTCCTCATGCTGCTGCCAGGTCCAGAGTGTCTCATGGGTCCCTGTACGGCCTCCCATTGCTGCTGTCTCCATCGCCACACTCTGCCATGTGCCACTTTCAGGTCTCCTCACACTGCTGGTGTGTTCCATTTTGTCATAGGGTGCTGGCAGATTACGGGCCTCCCATTGCTGCTGCCAGGCCCGTAATCTGCCATGGGCCCCTGTACCGCCTCCTCATGCTGCTGCCAGGTCCAGAGTGTCTCATGGGTCCCTGTACGGCCTCCCATTGCTGCTGTCTCCATCGCCACACTCTGCCATGTGCCACTTTCAGGTCTCCTCACACTGCTGGTGTGTTCCATTTTGTCATAGGGTGCTGGCAGATTACGGGCCTCCCATTGCTGCTGCCAGGCCCGTAATCTGCCATGGGCCCCCGTACCGCCTCCTCATGCTGCTGCCAGGTCCAGAGTCTCTCATGGGTCCCTGTACGGCCTCCCATTGCTGCTGTCTCCATCGCCACACTCTGCCATGTGCCACTTTCAGGTCTCCTCACACTGCTGGTGTGTTCCATTTTGTCATAGGGTGCTGGCAGATTACGGGCCTCCCATTGCTGCTGCCAGGCCCGTAATCTGCCATGGGCCCCTGTACCGCCTCCTCATGCTGCTGCCAGGTCCAGAGTGTCTCATGGGTCCCTGTACGGCCTCCCATTGCTGCTGTCTCCATCGCCACACTCTGCCATGTGCCACTTTCAGGTCTCCTCACACTGCTGGTGTGTTCCATTTTGTCATAGGGTGCTGGCAGATTACGGGCCTCCCATTGCTGCTGCCAGGCCCGTAATCTGCCATGGGCCCCCGTACCGCCTCCTCATGCTGCTGCCAGGTCCACAGTGTCTCATGGGTCCCTGTACGGCCTCCCATTGCTGCTGTCTCCATCGCCACACTCTCTGCCATGTGCCACTTTCAGGTCTCCTCACACTGCTGGTGTGTTCCATTTTGTCATAGGGTGCTGGCAGATTACGGGCCTCCCATTGCTGCTGCCAGGCCCGTAATCTGCCATGGGCCCCCGTGTACCGCCTCCTCATGCTGCTGCCAGGTCCACAGTGTCTCATGGGTCCCTGTACGGCCTCCCATTGCTGCTGTCTCCATCGCCACACTCTGCCATGTGCCACTTTCAGGTCTCCTCACACTGCTGGTGTGTTCCATTTTGTCATAGGGTGCTGGCAGATTACGGGCCTCCCATTGCTGCTGCCAGGCCCGTAATCTGCCATGGGCCCCCGTACCGCCTCCTCATGCTGCTGCCAGGTCCACAGTGTCTCATGGGTCCCTGTACGGCCTCCCATTGCTGCTGTCTCCATCGCCACACTCTGCCATGTGCCACTTTCAGGTCTCCTCACACTGCTGGTGTGTTCCATTTTGTCATAGGGTGCTGGCAGATTACGGGCCTCCCATTGTTGCTGCCAGGCCCGTAATCTGCCATGGGCCCCTGTACCGCCTCCTCATGCTGCTGCCAGGTCCAGAGTCTCTCATGGGTCCCTGTACGGCCTCCCATTGCTGCTGTCTCCATCGCCACACTCTGCCATGTGCCACTTTCAGGTCTCCTCACACTGCTGGTGTGTTCCATTTTGTCATAGGGTGCTGGCAGATTACGGGCCTCCCATTGCTGCTGCCAGGCCCGTAATCTGCCATGGGCCCCCGTACCGCCTCCTCATGCTGCTGCCAGGTCCAGAGTCTCTCATGGGTCCCTGTACGGCCTCCATTGCTGCTGTCTCCATCGCCACACTCTGCCATGTGCCACTTTCAGGTCTCCTCACACTGCTGGTGTGTTCCATTTTTTCATAGGGTGCTGGCAGATTACGGGCCTCCCATTGCTGCTGCCAGGCCCGTAATCTGCCATGGGCCCCCGTACCGACTCCTCATGCTGCTGCCGGTTGCAACAAGGTGGAATGGGTCCCTGTTACCGCCTTTACGAACAGCTGAAAGGGCATCGCCACACTCTGCCTGATGTGCAACTTTCAGGTACTCACCTGCTGGTGGGTTCCATTTTGTCATAGGGTGCTGGCAGATTACGGGCCTCCCATTGCTGCTGCCAGGCCTGCCGCTTGCCATGGGCCCCTTACCGCCTCCTCATGCTGCTGCCAGGTCCAGAGTCTCTCATGGGTCCCTGTACGGCCCCCATTGCTGCTGTCTCCATCGCCACACTCTGCTGTGCCACTTTCAGGTCTCCTCACATGGCTGGTGGGTTCCATTTTGTCATAGGGTGGCTGGCAGATCTCAACGGGCCTCCCACATGACCCCTGTGGGGGCAGGACAGGAAGAAGAGGAGGAGGTAGACCGCCTCCTTGGTGCCAGGAATTATTGAGTGAAATGGGTGGTCCCTGTACGGCCTCCCGGATTGCTGCTGTCTCCATCAGCCACACTCTGAGGAGGCCACAGAGGTCTCCTCACACCGCTGGCAGTGTTCCATTTTGTGGAGATGGAGGCAGGGATTAGTCCTCCCATTGCTGCTGCCTTGGCCAAATGGGCCCCCGTACATGCTCCTCATGCTGCTGCAGCCGGTCCAGAGTCTCTCATGGGGCTCCCTGTACGGCCTCCCTTGCTGCTGTCTCCAAAATGGCCATGTGCCTTTTTCAGGTCTCCTCACACTGCTGGTGTAAAGTTCCATTTTGTCATAGGGTGCTGGCAGTTTACGGGCCTCCCATTGCTGCTGCTGCCAGCCCGTCCATCTCGCCATGTGGGCCCCTGTGCGCTCATGCGTTCCGCTGCCATGGCAGCAGGGGAGGGGTGTCTCCAGGTGGTAGGGCCACTGTGGCAGCTCCACCAGCAGCGGCTCCATCGCCTCACTCTGCATGTCGATGATGAGGTCTCCTTTCTTCACCAGCGTTTAGTGCTGGCAACTACTAACCATTGCTGCTGCAGCAGCAGCCCGTAATCTGCCATGGGGACCTCAAACAACAGGCCTCATGCTGCTGCCAGGTCCAGGTGCCATGGGTCCGTACGGTAGACAATCCCATTGACTGCTGGGCTCCATCGAAACACTTGCCTTTGGCCCCAACTAGCTTTCAGGTTTGCCCTGAAAGGTGTGTTCCATTTTGTCATAGGGTGCTGGCAGATTACGGGCCTCCCATTGCTGCTGCCAGGCCCGTAATCTGCATGGGCCACGTACTGTCCACCCAAAGTGTGGAGAGACTCATGTTGTGAAAATGAATCAGGCGTCCATTAGTCTGGATTTCAAACCACCAGTTCCTGCACAACTGACTCCATCGCCATGAATCATGCCCCAAACATGTGCCACTTTCAGGTCTCCTCACACTGCTGGTGGTGTTCCATTTTGTCATAGGGTGCTGGCAGATTACGGGCCTCCCATTGCTGTTGCCAGGCCCGTAATCTGCCATGGGCCCCCGTACCGCCTCCTCATGCTGCTGCCAGGTCCACAGTGTCTCATGGGTCCCTGTACGGCCTCCCATTGCTGCTGTCTCCATCGCCACACTCTGCCATGTGCCACTTTCAGGTCTCCTCACACTGCTGGTGTGTTCCATTTTGTCATAGGGTGCTGGCAGATTACGGGCCTCCCATTGCTGCTGCCAGGCCCGTAATCTGCCATGGGCCCCCGTACCGCCTCCTCATGCTGCTGCCAGGTCCAGAGTCTCTCATGGGTCCCTGTACGGCCTCCCATTGCTGCTGTCTCCATCGCCACACTCTGCCATGTGCCACTTTCAGGTCTCCTCACACTGCTGGTGTGTTTCCATTTTGTCATAGGGTGCTGGCAGATTACGGGCCTCCCATTGCTGCTGCCAGGCCCGTAATTGCCATGGGCCCCCGTACCGCCTCCTCATGCTGCTGCCAGGTCCAGAGTGTCTCATGGGTCCCTGTACGGCCTCCCATTGCTGCTGTCTCCATCGCCACACTCTGCCATGTGCCACTTTCAGGTCTCCTCACACTGCTGGTGTGTTCCATTTTGTCATAGGGTGCTGGCAGATTACGGGCCTCCCATCGCTGCTGCCAGGCCCGTAATCTGCCATGGGCCCCTGTACCGCCTCCTCATGCTGCTGCCAGGTCCACAGTGTCTCATGGGTCCCTGTACGGCCTCCCATTGCTGCTGTCTCCATCGCCACACTCTGCCATGTGCCACTTTCAGGTCTCCTCACACTGCTGGTGTGTTCCATTTTGTCATAGGGTGCTGGCAGATTACGGGCCTCCCATTGCTGCTGCCAGGCCCGTAATCTGCCATGGGCCCCCGTACCGCCTCCTCATGCTGCTGCCAGGTCCACAGTGTCTCATGGGTCCCTGTACGGCCTCCCATTGCTGCTGTCTCCAGCGCCACACTCTGCCATGTGCCACTTTCAGGTCTCCTCACACTGCTGGTGTGTTCCATTTTGTCATAGGGTGCTGGCAGATTACGGGCCTCTCATTGCTGTTGCCAGGCCCGTAATCTGCCATGGGCCCCCGTACCGCCTCCTCATGCTGCTGCCAGGTATACAGTGTCTCATGGGTCCCTCTACGGCCTCCCATTGCTGCTGTCTCCATTGCCACACTCTGCCATGTGCCACTTTCAGGTCTCCTCACACTGCTGGTGTGTTCCATTTTGTCATAGGGTGCTGGCAGATTACGGGCCTCCCATTGTTGCTGCCAGGCCCGTAATCTGCCATGGGCCCCGTACCGCCTCCTCATGCTGCTGCCAGGTCCACAGTGTCTCATGGGTCCCTGTACGGCCTCCCATTGCTGCTGTCTCCATCGCCACACTCTGCCATGTGCCACTTTCAGGTCTCCTCACACTGCTGGTGTGTTCCATTTTGTCATAGGGTGCTGGCAGATTACGGGCCTCCCATTGCTGCTGCCAGGCCCGTAATCTGCCATGGGCCCCCGTACCGCCTCCTCATGCTGCTGCCAGGTCCAGAGTCTCTCATGGGTCCCTGTACGGCCTCCCATTGCTGCTGTCTCCATCGCCACACTCTGCCATGTGCCACTTTCAGGTCTCCTCACACTGCTGGTGTGTTCCATTTTGTCATAGGGTGCTGGCAGATTACGGGCCTCCCATTGCTGCTGCCAGGCCCGTAATCTGCCATGGGCCCCCGTACCGCCTCCTCATGCTGCTGCCAGGTCCAGAGTCTCTCATGGGTCCCTGTACGGCCTCCCATTGCTGCTGTCTCCATCGCCACACTCTGCCATGTGCCACTTTCAGGTCTCCTCACACTGCTGGTGTTTTCCATTTTGTCATAGGGTGCTGGCAGATTACGGGCCTCCCATTGCTGCTGCCAGGCCCGTAATCTTCCATGGGCCCCCGTACCGCCTCCTCATGCTGCTGCCAGGTCCAGAGTCTCTCATGGGTCCCTGTACGGCCTCCCATTGCTGCTGTCTCCATCGCCACACTCTGCCATGTGCCACTTTCAGGTCTCTTCACACTGCTGGTGTGTTCCATTTTTTCATAGGGTGCTGGCAGATTACGGGCCTCCCATTGCTGCTGCCAGGCCCGTAATCTGCCATGGGCCCCCGTACCGACTCCTCATGCTGTGACGTTGCAACAAGGTGGAATTCAACCCTACATATGTTAGACCGCCTTTACGAACAGCGAAAGGCCATCACCGATTTCCTGATGTTACAAGCGGATAAAGGTACTCCCCTGTGTAACTTACATGTCAGCCATTGGCAGCTCATGCATGACACCTGCCGCTTGCTCAGGCCCTTTGAGGAGGCCACGCTATTCGTGAGTCGGCAGGACTATGGGATGAACGACGTCATTCCTCTGTTGCACGTCCTGGAACAAATGCTGTTAACAATGGCTGGTCAGGGTGCGGTAGACGTGGCGCACAGATCTCAACGCCACATGACCCCTGTGGGGGCAGGACAGGAAGAAGAGGAGGAGGTAGAGGAGGACATTGGTGCTCAGGAATTATTGAGTGAAATGGGTGGTTTTTCCACTCAGCGGACAGGAGTGGAGGAGCAGGAGCATCTGGTAGAGGAGGAGGAGGAGGAGACAGAGGACCCAGACACACCGTGGCAGTATGCTGTGAAGATGGAGGCAGGGAGTCCCTCGCATTCCTTGGCACAAATGGCCCATAGCATGCTCGGTTGCTTGCGTAGCGACAGCGAATAATAACCATCAGACAGAGGGATGACTTTTGGCTGTCCACCTTGTTGGACCCTCGCTACCGTTCAAAAATGGTGGCCTTTTTCACACCTGCTGAGAGGGAGGCCAAAATAAAGTACTATAAAAACCACCTATGTAGTCAGTTGGTCTCTGCCTTTCTGCGCCAACGTCCATCCTCGGACACTGTGGGCCCTGTGCGCTCGCGTTCCGCTGCCATGGCAGCAGGGGAGGGGTGGGGTGGTAGGAGCAGTGGCAGCTCCACCAGCAGCGGCTGCCTCAGTCTGCAGTCGATGATGAGTAGCTTTCTTCACCAGCGCAGTGAGGAAACTACTAACCAGCCGCAGCCGCAGCAGCAGCAGCAGCAGCAGCAGCATCAGGTGGACCTGGAGCAGGACCTCAAACAACAGGCTTGGGTCTACTTGGACAGCACCCTGCCAACCGAGGTAGACAATCCCCTTGACTACTGGGCAACGAAACTTGACCTTTGGCCCCAACTAGCTGAATTTGCCCTTGAAAGGCTGTCATGCCCGGCCAGTAGCGTGGCATCGGAGCACGTGTTTAGTGCGGCAGGAGGTATTGTAACTCCGCGGAGGACACGACTGTCCACCCAAAGTGTGGAGAGACTCACGTTTGTGAAAATGAATCAGGCGTGGATTAGTCTGGATTTCAAACCACCAGTTCCTGACACAAACTGACTAAATCTGCCATGAATCATGCCCCAAACATGTGCCACTTTCAGGTCTCCTCATACTGCTGGTGTGTTCCATTTTGTCATAGGGTGCTGGCAGATTACGGGCCTCCCATTGCTGCTGTCAGGCCCGTAATCTGCCATGGGCCCCCGTACCGCCTCCTCATGCTGCTGCCAGGCCCGTAATCTGTCATGGGTCCCTGTACGGCCTCCCATTGCTGCTGTCTCCATCGCCACACTCTGCCATGTGCCACTTTCAGGTCTCCTCACACTGCTGGTGTGTTCCATTTTGTCATAGGGTGCTGGCAGATTACGGGCCTCCCATTGCTGCTGCCAGGCCCGTAATCTGCCATGGGCCCCTGTACCGCCTCCTCATGCTGCTGCCAGGTCCAGAGTGTCTCATGGGTCCCTGTACAGCCTCCCATTGCTGCTGTCTCCATCGCCACACTCTGCCATGTGCCACTTTCAGGTCTCCTCACACTGCTGGTGGGTTCCATTTTTGTCATAGGGTGCTGTATGGCCTCCCATTGCTGCTGCCTCCACCGCCACACTGTGGCTCCACACTCTGGTTTTGGCCCCGTGACTGCCCAAATGAGTGAAGTGTGCGGTGATTCTAAGATCGACGGCACTCATCTGCATGTCATACTGACTGACAGTATTATTTCTCTTCCCCAGCAGACTCCAAGGGCATTTAAATTAAAGGTACAGTGTTCTGCACTAATATAAAGGCTCTCTGAAGCCTAGAAACACCCTTTTATAAGTTAAATTCGCAGCGAATATTTTCGACTCGAATCAAATTTATTCCTCGAATTCGCCGAATCAGCCGAATCGAATTTTTGAATACTTCGCTCATCTCTAGTCTTGTCTAAAAATAAATGTCTTATAGTGAACAAAATTACAATTATTCAAATAACATCAGTATAGTAGGTTGTAAAGCAACAGTATCATATCTAAATGATGGTATAATGTAGATGAAAGCATTCTGAATTAATTAAAGAGATCATTCTGTTACTTCTCACATTTTAAACATTTGAAATAACTTGAACTAAATTGCACATTTTGACAAGATAAAAGCAGAAAGATGTTCCCATTTCTAAGCATATACAACAGTGATTGTATCTGTAGAACTGATGTGGTAATGTGACTGTATTATGTAAAATCTTTCTTCTTTTTCTTTCTTTCTTTCTTTCTTTCTTTCTTTCTTTCTTTCTTTCTTTCTTTCTTTCTTTCTTTCTTTCCTTTTCTCTATATTTTACAGTACAGTAAAAACAATATACCACAATAATATTGTGCACAACATGATTGGAAAGAAAAAGACTGCAGGTTGCCCTTAAAACCTAAAAAGAGTGTAATTCATATGGTGCTTTGAAGTGACTCTTGATTTACAAGTTAGTGCAACCCACCACCTACACCAATTGCTTCAAAGTTCAACGTAAATTTGTTAAATGAAAATAACTCTGTAGCCTTAATTTTTTTAAGTAGCCTGCAGAAAAAGATAGTTAATATTTTTTTTTTTATCTCTGTGTCCTGTAGTGATGTAGGAGCAATTTGGTGGACCCACATAGCACAGCAGTGGACCAGGCATCCGACACAACCTGAAGTGTTAGATAAGGAACAAAGGATGACACTTTGGTAGCTTCCCTTCCGTCAGCAAGTTTTATTGCATTAACAGTACATCTTACTATACAAATTGTAAATAGGCTCCATGGATCAGTACCTGGTGCTGCTTTAAAAATACATACGGTATGTAGAAAATGAGTGCCTTACACTAATTATGTCAAAATTTAAAAAAAAATGCAAACAACAAATTATGTTCCTTCAAGGTAAACCCTGAGTTTGAAGTTCAATAACAACAGTTTTCCTTTTAATTAGAGAAGTTTTAGAAATTTGAGATAGTTTTTAGTCAACATTAGGGGCTTACTTCGCAATGTGAGAGAAGGGCTTTTTCATTTACAGCCAACTCAAAATGAGTTTGTACTTTGTTTCTCTACTTCTGTATTCCAAACAATGATAATGAACGTTGAGTTTTGCCCTGACCCCTGCATCTTCCAAAATTCCCCATTTTGTCTTTTAATTGGTATCCTTGGGAGATGGGAGAGTATGGGCCACACCTCACTTCAATAGGAAAAAGTATCATTTGCATATAAGTTCAGTTGCCTTTGTCTCTGGATCTACTGATCATCTTGACAGGTGGGTAACCTCTATTTATGCATTTTCATCATATCATTGGTTTGAATTGAACAGATTTGTGTTTTTTGTTTGTTTGATAGATATGAACAATAAGCTCAATTAACTAAGCTATACCAATTGTTATTTTCCATAACAATAGTAGAACTAATTAGAGCTGAAAATAATTATTGCTATGACAAATAACATATGCATTATAACTTAGTGAATTGGACCTAATGTCATATACATTCTATATTTTTATCCAAGTTTTTCTTATATATTTTCTTTTAAATATTGAAATTCATAATTAAAAAATACCCCACTGCTAACCCACCAATGCACTTTATATCTTGAATATTATTCAATTGTGAGAAAATGTACTAATACATAGAAAACTTAAATAATAGCTCAGTTAATAGCAGAAATAGCACTGACTTTCTGGTGAAAAAAGTGGGAGAATTAATCATTCAATTGAAGATATTTTTGTAAAATGAAAAGAAATGGAAATTAACATTTGTCATGAACAAATGACTATTTCATAACTGTAAAATATTCATAATCTTTTGCATAGATTTTAGAAGCCCAGGGGTAACAATGTGCAGAATGATTATAGGAATATTTAAATAGGAACTGTACACTTTCATAAAGAAAAACCCTTATCAAATGCTTACTGAAAAAAGAAACATTGTTTTATGTATTTTGTTGGTTTTATATTCAATAATTAACTTTCAATAAAATATAGGAACTATTGGACTTTTAACAGTACTGTTAAACATATGAACCAGATGCAATATTTCCAGAAAATTTACGTTTTATTGCATTATTTATTTAATTCAACTTCCTTAAAAATAGAAGCAATTGTATAGTAGAGCCAAAGAGCACTGAGGGAACACAAACATATAATAGCAAAATCTACAAAATATAAGATATTAGGGTTGATATATTGAAGGAGTAGAGCCTGCTAACCTACCAAAGTGAACATTATTCTTATTAAGCAGCAGCTCAAACTATAGACATGTATCAATTTTTACTAAGCAGTAAAGAGCTTAATAACAAGTTGTTACTTGCCTCACAAGGTGTATGCACCGCAGAGTAATTAATACTTAAAAGAACACGGAGATTCAGAGGTATGGATTCAGTCCATTTCTAACAGGTTACAGGACCTGGTATTTGTATATATTATAAGGATGGCAGGCTACCAACACCCTCTTGTCTGTCTAAATAATGGAGGTAGGGGTGCTGCAATGTTGTGTAATGTATCTGTTAGAAATTGGAGAATAATTAGTCTAGTGTGCCTGCAGGACATTGCTTCCACAATTTTTCAAAAGCCCATGCTCATTTATCTATGGCTAAAAACAATATAACTTTTTTGACTATTGTTCTTATACTTAAAGTGAACCTGCACTGCATCTGAGTACCACAAACCAAAACTGCTATATAATTCATTTTTAATATTCAAAACAAACTTCTCCATCCATCCATGTTTCCCTGCTTTATTTTCCTGAGAAATCATTTTGAACTACACCTGCTCCTGCTGGCATTTCTGGCAGTGGCATGTTAAGTAAGGGCAGATGATTCATGTAGCAATTACTTCCTGGAATCCATCTGTCTTTAGCTCAGGCATTGGCTGAGCTGAGAACCGTCCCTTCCCTCCTGAAGACTCCTGGGATGTATGACATAATTTGCCTAGGCATGGAAAACAGAAAGTACAGTGGGGATCGAAAGTTTGGGCACCCAGCTAAAAATTTGTATTAATGTGCCTAAAGAAGCCAAGGAAAAATGGAAAAATCTCCAAAAGGCATCAAAATTACAGATTAGACATTCTTATAATATGTCAACAAGTTAGATTTTATTTCCATCATTTACACTTTCAAAATAACAGAAAACAAAAAAAATGGCGTCTGCAAAAGTTTGGGCACCCTGCAGAATTTATAGCATGCACTGCCCCCTTTGCTAAGCTGAGACCTGCCAGTGACATGGATTGTTCTCAATCATCATCTGGGAAGACCAGGTGATGTCAATCTCAAAGGTTTTAAATGCCCAGACTCATCTGACCTTGCCCCAACAATCAGCACATGGGTTCTTCTAAGCAGTTGTCTAGAAAACTGAAACTGAAAATAGTTGACGCTCACAAGCTGGAGAAGGCTATAAGAAGATAGCAAAGTGTTTTCAGATGTCAATATCCTCTGTTTGGAATGTAATTAAGAAATGGCAGTCATCAGTAACAGTGGAAGTTAAAGCAAGATCTGGAAGACCAAGAAAAATATCAGACAGAACAGCTCGCAGGATTGTGAGAAAAAATTCAAAACCCCACGTTTGACTGCACGATCCCTCCAGAAAGATCTGGCAGACACTGGAGTTGCGGTACACTATTCCACTATAAAGAGATACTTGTACAAATATGGTCTTCATGGAAGAGTCATCAGAAGAAAACCTCTTCTATGTCCTCACCACAAAAATCATCGTTTGAACTTTGCAAATGAACATATAGACAAGCCTGATGCATTTTGGAAACAAGTTCTGTGGACCGATGAGGTTAAAATTGTACTTTTTGGCCGGAATGAGCAAAGGTACGTTTGGAGAAAAAAGGGGCACAGAATTTCATGAAAAGAACCTCTGTCCAACTGTTAAGCATGGGGTTGAATCAATCATGCTTTGGGGTTGTGTTGCAGTCAGTGGCACAGGGAACATCTCACGAGTAGAAGGAAAAATGGATTCAATAAAATTTCAGAAAATTTTGGATGGTAATTTGATGCCATCTGTGAAAAGCTGAAGTTAAAGAGAGGATGGCTTCTACAAATGGATAATGATCCTAAACACACCTCGAAATCCACGGGGGATTACATCAAGAGGCGTAAACTGAAGGTTTTGCCATGACCTTCACAATCTCCTGACCTCAACATAATTGAAAATCTATGGATAGACCTTAAAAGAGCAGTGCGTGACAGATAGCCCAGAAATCTCAAAGAACTGGCAAGACTTTGTAAGGAAGAATGGGCAAAGATTACCTCAAACAAGAATTGAAAGACTCTTGGCTGGCTACAAAAAGCATTTACAAGCTGTGATACTTGCCAAAGGGGGCAGTACAAGATATTAACTCTGCAGGGTGCCCAAACTTGTGCAGATGCCATTTTTTTGTTTTCTGTTATTTTGAAAGTGTAATGATGGAAATAAAATCTAACTTTTGTTGACATATTTAGATCGAAGCGAATCGAACCAAGCAAAGTGGAATTCGTTTCGAATTTCAGGAAAAATTGATTCGCGGCGAATCGAATATTAGCAATAACTTCGGGTGCGCGAATCAGATTTTTCCCGATCAGCCGGCAAAAGTGTCCCTCCCCCCCCCCCCCCCCCCTGCAGAGAGCTCCGCTATTTCTGGACAGTTCTCTGACAGTTCCTTCACATGTACAGCGGTTGAAACATTGTATCTATTTGTTTCCATTTACGGATACAGCTTGTTTTTATTCGGAAAAACAGATACAATGTCCTCAACGCTGTTAATGTGAAGGAACTGTCAGGGAATGTCAGAAAATAGGGAGCTC